TTATGGCCTGGTTTTCTGTCCTGCGTCTTTTTCTGGTTACCTCTGAAAAATTAGCTACCTGTGTTTTAGCTTGTTACTTATGTGTAGCTACCAGCTTCGTCTTATTTGATTACCACCAAAATCTCTATTGTTTTTAAGAGAGCCCTCAGGTTTAAGTTTCTTCACACTCTGTACAAAAGTCAAGTCAGAATTTAATGAGAAGAGGTCTGCTTCCCTCTGTTGTTACGATCTGTCTCTCCCCCATTCTTACGTACGATCTGTGAAATACTGAGCCGCAGGTCTGGAGCTGGTGTTGGAAATAGTTGCTCCCCACTCCGGGAAAGATCTTTCAGTTTTATGAGCTGGGTAGTGGGTGGGCAGTGGTAGACCTTTGTTCTTCTAGATCCTGGAACTTTCTTAAATTGTCTGCATGAAACTGCATGCTGTAGAGCCCCCTTAGCTTTCTGATCATCTGATCATCACACCAGCACTTTTTTTTCACATCCATTCATCTCCAATCACCAGTGCCTTTCTTTTCCTTTGAAAGACCACTTCTGACAGTTTCCTCTACCTGGAGTGCTTATTCCCAGACAATCTTAGGAATTGTCTTTCTTCAGAGGTCTGCTTGCCAGTGAGATTTCCTCACTACCCTATTCAAAATTTGACATCATCTTCCAGGATGTGCCTAGTCCATCACTTTTGCTGATTCTCGTGTCCATAACTAAATTGGCATCTAACGTTCTATATAATTTACCGTCTGTTTGTTATCTCTATAAACCCATCCAACACATACACGTTATGCAACCAAATGGAAGCAGGGATTTTTGCCTGCTTTCTTTATACCACATCCAGAAAAGGGCTTGGTACGTGGTAGGCACGTATTAGACGGTAAATAAAAATGTGGGAGATGACTGAATTGCTATTTTAACTAGATTCAAGTTTTTCAACTCCATAGAACATATGTTTAACTGAGAATTTCAAATCATTATGGCAAAAATGTATGCCTTGAATGTTATTCACATATGATAATTGAAAGTAGCATAATTCAGGCAGGTGATTCCTATTTAAAACCCTCTAATTCTCTAAAGTATTAGAGTTAATTGACATAATGAACATTTGGATAGATGATGTCTTTTTTTAAATATTTGCCATCTCAAATTAAATGTAATTGCTTGTATAAGCATGATGTTTGTTATGGTAAAGATTAATCCCTTTCATA